TCAATATAATCTAACCTAGCTTTACCTTAGTAGCCTACGTCATTGCAGTAGATTAATGGTAGTAAAATAAGCCACAAAAATCTAACCTTTAATAACCTAAGCAGCATCTAAAGCAATTTAGGTTGGAATACTTTTTTTTTTTAATTGAGTGGCTCAATACATTTCTTATATACGAAAGTGTGCCCCCATATTGAGTTATTTTGCGGTAAATATACTCACATAAACAAAGCCACATATAAGCTGGCACACACAATTTTTTTTTGTGTATTCAAGCCACTCCTGTGCTCTCCAGTGGCGCGTGTGCACTGCTCCAATTTCAGCACGTTTTCCATTTTGGCTGTACACTTTTCTAAATTGCAATCTACAGCGCTGTTGAGCTAGCACTAATGGTTAGTTGCCTAGTTGACCAGTTCGCCGGCGAGTGGCTTGCTGTCAGCCTGATTTTGGTTTACTATTTTTTTCCAACATAGAAATTTATATCAGATACATACGTACTTAATGTTGTTGCTTGAATGCAGCTGGACATTTGGGCGATTTGCTTTGCACTGCCAATGGCTCTTTGCCGTTTTGTTAGCTGTCTGCTTGTCTGGCCGCCAGTCTATACAATGTTCCACAAGCCCCCATATGCGCATGCAAGCGCGCATGTCTTGCACGCCTATCCTTATCTATGCTTTGTGCAGCTTAGTCAGCTTTGGCACTATAATTTAAGTATGCAATTTTGCGATTGCAGTTATTGGTTAGCTCACTTTTGGTGTGCATTTGGTATAAAATTTTTTATTTTTATTTATTTTTTCTTAATCTGCTGTCGTTCAAGTTTTGTGCGACTGCCAACTACTGCCTGCCACAATGTATTCGAAACGAGTTCAAATATTTTGTTAAATCGTTCAGTTTTGGTCAATTTTATATGCTCAAAGTGACAGCTACAGATTTAAAACAGATCACATTTCGAATTAGATTTCATATTACATAAATGGTTCTTAGTGTTGGAAAATGGGCGTTTTTTTGGCTGATGGGTTTTTGTGCTTACACACACATGTATGTAGGTATGTATACACACATTGATGCATATCGTTGCTTATATAATTTTTTTTTTTTTTTTTTTGTTTTCTAAAAGAAGGCTGCAATCAACTAATGATTGCTCTGAAATGATTCTAGATTTTGCGCTTTGTTTGGTGCTCTAACTACCGAAACGTTTTTGACCGAGTTCAATAAAGCAGGCACTCGTTTCTGTTCCGTGCCAACTGACGCCAATTAGAAATGCCAAGTGAAGCCTGGTCAAGCCTGCTTCATCCTCTTACGTCACCAGCGTATTCCGAGTTGAGTACTTTCAGGGCTGGAGCATCTGTGTCCATTCGAACGGCCAAGCTGCGGAGGTGCTGTATTTTAATTCGCTTCACTATGTCAATGTCGGCTAAAATTATGATAATTTAAAAAGTTTCTCAATTTTTTTGCCTTTGAATGTTAGTAAGTAATTTATATAAAATCTTTTAGTAGGTGCTCTTTTCATCTCAGCGTTAATATTTATGTCATCAGTTTTATCTATTCATTTAATGCTTCTGTTTATGTATATATATATACATATGTATGTACATGATTACCTTTATGGTTGACACTTTAATCATTACAAACTAATTTATTGCTTTTAACTAGTTTAAACCATAAAATTTATTTATTTGCATACATTTGCAAATCTATTTTTTACTACACTTTGGATGCATCCAGTGATTTGCGTGTTAACTGCATACATCTGAAACAGGTTTGTTGCTAAAGTCTTTTGTTTGAGGTCAACCCTTTGAGTTTGTAGCGCACGGACAAGCAATTTGTGATGTAGTATTTTGATATAAAAAGAAGTAATTTTTAGCAAAAAAAAAACCGACTTCAACTCTCATATAAATAAGTAATTTTTAGCAAAAAAAACCGACTTAAAAAAAATATATATGTATATATCTATATATTTCATGATCCAATGATCGGATCTAAACCAAATTAGTATGGCACCACCACTTAGACACTACCTTTCCGTTGCAAAAAGAATTATTGAAATCGGTTGACGTGGTGCAAAGTTATGCGGTAACATACGTAAAAAAAAAAAAAAATATTCCGACGAACTGATAACCTCCTCCTTTTTTGGCAGTCGGTTAAAAAACAGTAAAATAAAAGCATTTTAAATTGGTATAATGAAATTTGTTTTTTTTAATTTTTCTGATCGATATTTTACATTAGTTTCAATACGTTTGCAACATTTTTTTAATTATATTTAAGGCTATTGAAAATTTAATTATACTCAAATTAATGGACTTTTCAATGGATATGCTCTTAGATTCTCGACCTAGTCTTGCATTGTCTAAAATTTAGTTAAACAAAATCCGATCTTATCTGTGTCAAAATCCTCAATCGATGATATGCTAAGAGAAAAATAACATTTTCTTCCATACAAAGTATGCTCGACCAAATTTTTGTATGGAAGAAACCGACAACAAAAAAAAATGTCAAAAATCAACGCCATTTTGTAGCCACTTGAAATTTACCCTTCATTGCACTAAAATTTATTGGGCTATAAAACTGCATACCCGAAATCTTTCTAAAAATATTAAAAACTTTTGCACTGCAGGTCATTAGGTTAGCACCCCCTCTGTTGGAATATTTTCTAAATTTGTATAATATGTTCTCTTCTTATAAGTATAAGTAATATATATAACAATAGATCAGTGAATCTTAAATTAAAACTCACAAATCAAGAGGGCTAGTAAAACATACATATTTCAGAGTTGTTTTACTTAGAATTAAAAAAAAAAATATATATATATACTAAATTGGCTATTGAATGTCTACAACGGTTATATCACAAAAAAAAAAATTAAATCATGTATATATGTTTGTGTGTACAACCAGTCAAATTCAACACCTAGCACCATTTTTTGTTGTTTCACTTACCTTCAATTTTTTTTTTTTGCTGAAATTTTATTTGATTTTCCCTTCATTGGTCAGTGGTGCGTGCCACAGCATCATATAACGCCAAACACAATGCAACAGATACTTTAAATAAAAGTGTTCAATATATCATGTGTCCATGAAGTACATACAAATGTACATAAGTGAAGGCGCAGCTGTGCGCTGAGAATTTGAATAAAAACCAAAAAAAAATGTAGTTGAAAAAAAACCATAAAAAATGCAAGAAAAAATCATAAAAGTTTTGAGGTTTGAGGTTAATCAACGCCAAAGTTCAGTCAACAGGAAAGCGAATAGATGCCAATGAGTATGATAAATTTGGATACAAGCGAGCTAGCAAACAAAATGGTGGAAAAAAGTGGCGTGCTTATGCGAAAAAAAAAATGCAAAAAAATAGTAGAAAAAAATTAGACAACAGCAGACAATCAAAAAACCCAAACACGAACGTAAACTTAGAAGCAAACCAGCAAAACGAAATACACACTTAGAAAAAAAATCAAATAACAACAACAACAGACTGCAGGCTTTAATGATACACAAACCAGCTAAGCAACAAAAAATGTTGCTGACCCGCTAGTTGCGGCGCAAAGTACGTGCATGCATTTGCTACAGCATTTCGGCAACACATTTGAAAATAATACGGCTTCAAACAATAGCTGCATATCTACATATACAAATGTACATCTACACATAGTACAAAAAAGTCGCGCCAAAGCTAAGCGAAGTGCCAAAGCAATCAAAAAGCATTTGAAGCGATTGGCCTGAAACATTTCGATAGCTCTGTTAGAAAACGACTCAAAAAAAATCGACAAGTCAAAAATCAATAAAGAAAGCAACAACAAAAAGAGGATAACATTGGCGCACAACAGCATTGTTTATTGCTTGCTTGGCAGCAGCGCATAGAAAGAAGGAAATCAAAAGTCTGCAACTTTAGTATTGGCCAGCACGCCACCTCGAAGGTATAAACAAAGCAGAAGGAAAAAACAAATCGAAATAAAAAGAAACTAGCATGCCCACCCGCTTACCGCCTTGCCCGCCTCGCACACCACACTGCAGCAGATAAACCTTTTTCAAGCCAATGTGGAGTTAAGCGACATTAAACCAGCAAATGCTGAGTGCCTGATTTCCCGATTGCTTGCTGTCCGATTGCTGCCTAGCTGCTCGTCGACTGGCTGCCTGTCTGTCTGTTTTGTTAGCTGTTAGCTGTTGACTGTTGACTGTCGACTGGCAGCTTGCCTGTTGTTTAGCTGTGCTGGGTGTGTTGTTATTGCTGTTGCCCATTGGATAAGAGCTTTTCTGATACAACCAATTCAGCTGTTGGGCGACACAACAAACTACAAAAACTGTACCTACTACTTACTTTCCAAAGACCCCATCAGCCGCAGCCGCAGCACCAGCATCAGCAGCTCCAAAGTTGTTGAGCAACAAATGTTGCGGCTGTTAGGGCAACATACTCCTCGTATAATCGCCCCAGCCAAAAGTTGTATGGCCAAGTTGTAGTTGGGGTAAAGCGTATTGGACACTTTGAAAGGCAGCTTTGCAAAACCAGTTTTCTTAGCGTTTCGTTCCCTGCTGTGTGCTTTGACTATGGCGAATGGGGTAATCGGGCAAGCACTCCTCTGCATAAGCACTTAAATATACAGAAATCTACAACGAGAAGCAAGCAATCTTAAAACCGACTCTTCGTTCGTTTAACTCTTTGGCTGTAGTCTGCAGTTTCTGGCTACACAAATCGACTTCACAGCGCCGCTGCTGACGGCTACTTGCTGTTTAGTTATTATATATGTGAACAGAATAAAAAACATGGCTGCCATAAAAACTTGTTTGTGTTGCTCGACACAGCGTATTGTAAGCTAAAGTAACTGGTGTATGAGTTGAGAAAATATATGTCTGTACAAAGCAAATGCCGTGCAACAACAAAACTGAGCAATCTGCTTGCTCTACCTACCGAAGCCCTTTTCATCATCACATTTACCTGTTTTTATTTTTCCTATTACACATTTTCGCATTTGTTTCATATTCTCTCTTCTTCGTTTCGTTTCTTGCAGGTCTTATGGCACTTGGACGCCTTTCGTCGTTCCTTTCGTACCCTCAATCATCACATTTGTTGCGGCCAAGATTGTATATTCTGCGCATTGAAGGTAAGTCAAGACAATTTACTTATGTTCCACAAACTATTTGTCAGCGTAATTGTTTGCATGTGTGCGTACTTGTGTGTGGAAGTGATCTTGCTCGTGGAGTGTAAGATGGCTAGTGACTGAAAGTATGCAACGGTTTTTTGCTGATGGAGTCGGCTGTGGATTCAGAGATCACAAGAGTACTTGCGTTTGTGTGTGTTGCATGGTGAAGTCGTTTGCTTGAAAAGTTGTGAAGTGAGCTCTGAGAAATGTGTGTACATGTGTACTGGCATTGAAAATCGCTTTGGACTTTCCACAGAGGTTAAAGCCATAGAGCTTAGGTTAATATGAAGCATATTTAAAGGCTTACATAACTTAATTTTTGCTTTTCATGTTTAGGGCAGTGATAAACATAATTTCAAAATTTGCAAGTTTTAGGTATTTTCGAAAATTTTTCAATATTTTTTTCTAAAGGGCTGATTGCAGCTCTCAATAAAAATGAAAAATTATAAAAAAAGTCGCGCACAATATATGGAAAAAAAATCTTTTTATATAGATTTTTTTATACAAATTTTTTAAATCAGTCTGCAGCTCTCAAGAAAAAATTCCTAGTTCATATATTTATTTGTTCAAGAAAATTTAATACAAAGTACTTTCTCAAGCAACAGAAAGAATGAAAAATATTTCTTGTGATTTTTCTTGAGAGCTGCAAACACCGCTTAATAGTGACTTCTTTGAGACCTTCCGGGATTTTTTTTTGTAGACCTCGGGTCTTTTAGCTATTCTTTCGGAACTTTTCAGAATTTTCCGAGATTTCTTAGAGACATTCAGTATTTTTCGGCTTTGCTTTTTAGTATTTTCGAGATTCTTTAGAATATTTCAGCACCGTTTTTGGGATTTTTTTCGATCTTCAGGATCTTTTTAACATTCTTTCGGGATTTTCGGAACTATCAGGGTTTTTTCTGTGCTTTCGGAATTGTTTTCGGTAGTTTTTGGAAGTTTTTGAGATTCTTGGAAATTTTCTAGAACTGTCATAGTTTTTTTTTAGACTTGCCGGTAATTTTTTGAGGCTTTCGAAATTAACTTTTCAAGAGTTTTCAGATTAAAAAGTACAATCATATTAGTCCCAGCTTAGCTTTCTGTGAATGCTTAAAATAGTTAAATCATAAATTTCCGGTTTTTTCAAATTAAAAATATACATATAAAAACAAGCCTTAACCTTTATAACGCTAGGCCGAATAGGTCATTAGAATATTGCCTTGTGATTTTTTAAACGGACGGTGAAATAGATCCAAATCTCTGATGTGCCTTCAGTGGACTTCTTTCTATAAGTGTTGTGGTTTTATCTAGTAAAATCGTGTACTTAGTACTTATATCATAACTTCTACTAACACTAACACTTCTAACTATAACAGTCTACTTTGAAGTCAAAAATACTAACCAAGTTGTATAAAAATAGCGTTTAAGTGGACAATTACGTGTGTATTACATAAGTAGAAAATTGTGCTGCGGAAAACCAGCAGCATCTCATTGCTAGTTTAAACTATATTCATATTTACTATAGTCGTTGCTGCGTTTGCAGAAAAGTGAAACAATGATATTGCGTGCGCATAAAATCAACTAAACGTATGCGTGTGCGCCTACCTACCGAATGATGTGCATATAATTGTAATTAGTCGTGAAAAGCCGAGGGCCATAGAACCCATTGCAAGTGCGTGATTTTGTTGTTCCCAGCGAAATAAACTGCGACGCCATAGCACGACAACGCGCAGCGATTTTCCCTCAGGTGTGCCACAGTGTTTGGACGGCAGGCCAAATGCAAGTGAATGTTTCTCTATGCATAAGTATGTGTGTATGTGTGTGCGTGTATGCATGACTGCTGCGCCTATTTATGGCATTATAATGGCGCTATTTCTTAGTTGCCAATTCGTGGAGGGTTGGAAGTTTCTTAGGGAATAAGGGAAAATTCTCACACTTTTATTTAGTGCATTTGTTTTTTTTGTTGTTTGCTTATTTGTATTGGGGGATTTTCACAGCACACTGCAAACATATGATGAGCATATGCTAATAGCACCATAAATGCAGGTATAAACATAGACATGTTTCTATTCGAGTTTGTTGCTTAAGTCTTTTGTAAGACACGCGTTTAGCCATGAGAATCTCTTAGCTTTGTCGTGGCGCTGCTGCTAAGCAAAAAGTGTATTTGCAAAAATGCTTTGGCGCTTGATGCGCTTGCCACCAAACAGCTTTTCATGAACTCTGGCCTTTTGCGCTGAGAGTTCCGTTTCGAAACTTGTTTTTGAAGATGTTACTTCATTAGGTTAACTTGATTGGCTGCCGATGGCGGCGCTTCTTCAGTTTGTCTTTAGCGGCATTTTGTTGCTTTGAAGTTGCAAATTTATTTATTTATTTTCATTAGTAATAAATGATCTTCTTGCAAAGCTAAAGTACCCGTCACGTTTGTAATGCGCTTTGGTAATTGTCAAATAGAAAACAAGATTTCAATTCCCCGCAGGCCAGTCGCTTGCCTATTGGCCCAACACTTAGCAATTTGACCTTTTGGACCACTTTGTGATTGTTTGCAAATGAAATGAAAATTCAATTTAAAATGGGTCGGCAATTAAATTCGATTTTTTTCGTCGTACATCGTTAAATTGTTTTTAGTTTTGCACTTGTTTTTTTAAGTTTAAAGAGCTCAATTAATTTTCAGTAAAAGAGGATATAAAGTCCTTTTTTTAATTTAAAGATTTTTAGGGAAAGATACATCCCTATGCTTTTAAAATAAAACAATGTCTTTAAATTGAACTTTATAAAAATTCAGCCTTTGTACTAAGAATATATACATACATATATGTACACACATCCATGTTAAGCAAACATTTTTTCGAATACAAAACATGTTACATCTGTTGCAAAACGGTGTTTTTTTTTAGTTTGAAAGCTTTTGGTTATTCTTGGACGACTGTCTTAGAAAAAAGCTCCCTTGCCAATTTTCATAGTGTAAAACTCTTTGGAGATGTAAAACATTTTGCTCGCGCTACTCCAACAGTCGCAATGGCCGAGTGAGCAAAGCACAGGCGTGCCATTCAATAGATGCGAGGTTCGAATCTTCTGGCAGCGGATTTTTTTTATTTAATTTGGTCTATTTTTGAGTTAATATTCTTTTAATTTTTAGACTTTTCGTATAGAAGAAACCAAATTTTTTTTTATTTTTTTTTTAAACTCATTTTATCTATTTTTACTTTTTCTAATTCAATTTTTCTTCTTTTTTTATTTGATTTCCTTATGATTTTTAGGTTTTATTGTTTTAAAAATACTAATATTTTTTAATTTCATTTAATTTTTAGAAAATAATTTCATATATTTTTTAATTTTTTTTACTTATGTACGTTCCAGACTTTATTGTTTAAAACACATTTTGTTTTTAATTCATTTAAGTTTTAGGAACTTATTTTTGTCCTTTAATTTAATCTTTTTTTCGTAATTTTTAGATTTTATTGTTTAAAAAAAAAAAATTTCATTTAATTTTTTGTAAACTTATTGCTAAAAGAGGAAACAGAATAACGCTAAGACATCCTCGTTAGACAGAAAATACCTTTCAAGAGAATTTCCGGGATTTTCAATTACCTTACGAAGGTTTTTTTCGCATTAAGCAATAATATCACCAAACCCTAGATGAAATAATTTAGAGGCGTTAAATCGCACTATCTCGGTGGCCAATCAACTACCTCATTTCCAGTAATAAGCCGTTAACGGTAACATTCTCAGTTTTGAAGAATAAGGATTAAGGAATTTACGGGCTCATAAAGCTCACCAAATAAAAGGCTGGTTATTTTACTTTTACAACAGATTTTTATCCTTGTTAGCCAGATCCGAATATGCGTGTTTTAAAGAAGTTTCCAAGCAGATATTTATGTAGAAACTTTTAAAAATTTCCTAACCCCCTTTCATGAAAAACCTTAACAGCTCAAAATTTCCGTATGCTCAACACATGTATCCGCCTACCAAATGAGTAAAAAATACCCACAGCCTATTTATGTGCAACAACCATAACTCACATATGGAAAATACCATAAAAATTGCATTCCTTCACACAAGATAAAAGAAAATAACTACCACTTTCCCGGTATTTTACTATTTCACTGATAGCGCGCGCGTTACGCCAGGCGTTTCCAACGAAAATACCAAATGACTAACTGACCAATCTAAATGGTGACTAGCCTGTCTAGTCTGCTTTATCGCGCAAAAGGTCACTAAGTACAATGACTGGCAAAAGTCATTCAGCAAATAAATAGAAAAATTCCAAAGGACCTCGACTGGCCAATTGTCTGCACCGACGCGCCATACGCCTACTCATTTCCGCTCACAACTACAATACATAGCCGCTTTTCACGTGCACAAGTGGCCGTCACCAACACAACTACTACATACGTATTTCTAATGCTAATGCACATGCGTACAATTGTAACTGAAGGTTGCATTTTCACTGCGCTTTCGCATAAATTTCCCACTGATAATTTTTAAAGCAGAAATAGAAATGTCATTGTTGCTCATTTGTGATTAATGTTTTTTCTTGGAATTTGAGCGCTCATAAAATTGTTTTAACTAGCAGTACGAGCTCACAAACAAAGGAAATGATAAAATGATAATAACCCTTACATATGTATGTATGTATGTATGTATGTATGTATGTAAAAATAAGACAAAAGGTCCAACTCGAAGCTTAATTGTGCTCGATGATAAATTAAGTGCTAAATATGTTAATTAAATGGCTGTGGCTGTGTGCATAATTACATGTCTATTGTAATGGCAAACTCTGCAAGCACTGGCGCAATAGTTGTTGCTATTCTATGCTCAAGGGTTGGTTTGCTTGGCTGTTTCGCAGCATAAACGCTTTTACTGCTTTTAGCTGAGCTCTTACTTGACTGTAGCGCCGCTTTGTGCAAAACTTCTTAACTTTAACTATTGTGATGGCTGCTATCGCCGCGGCATGTGAGAAAATGCGTGAAAAGTATTCAGAGTTTTGAATTTCTAATCAGTTAGTTAATGTTTATTCACATTTGTAAAAGGGAGTGTCGCGTGTCTGCCAGATTGTAGTGTTTAATTGATGTATCTGCTCTTGATATGAGAGACGCATATATACGCTAATTACACGACTTATCGTTTTATATGTGTTTTTACAATTAGAAATGACTTGATAAATGTTTTTGCTAAAATATTAATTAACTATATGAATTAATTTCAAAAAAGCTTTATTACAAAAAAATTTTAGATTCATTTTTTGCGGTATAACCGCCTAAGCTAATTTGGCCGAGCCCAGTAAAGCACGCCTAATGAATCTTTAGTATTTACAAAAAAAAAAAAACATTTTATTACTTAACTGATTTCTAAATATTTTTATTTAATTAATGGCTTCCATGTCACAATTGTAGATATTATATTCCATTAAATTAAAATTTCATTAAAATATGTTTAGTATATTTTAGATAAATTAAGCTTAGGATTAATTAAATTTTTTTAAATACTTTTTAAATTTTATAACAGATTTTAGTACTTAAAAGGGCAGTGTATATAAAAAATTTTACACAGCGGTAGATTTTAGTACTAAAATTTGGATTCAAGTAAGCTAATTTCTGATGAGCTTTTTTATAACAAAACAATTTTGTACTTCAAAACAAGATTTTTTACCTTAGTAAAGTACTAAAAAATTTTATTGAAATAATGGCATGCATATAATTTCTCGAATTTACACTACTAAATTGTTGGTTAAAACTTTTATTTAGTAGGAATTATCATAGATATTAGTACTAAAAACTACTTTATATGCTCACAGAATAGTAAAAATAATAAAGCAATAGATATAAGTACTGCCAAAAAATTTTATATAATTTAAAAAAAGGAGAACTAAACGCTTGGTACTATAAAATGTGTACTAAAATTTTATTACTAATTTTTAAAGAAGTTAAAACTTATGTATATATTAATAATAAATACTCTTTAAAAAATTACAGATTTTAGAGGTAATATTAAAAACATCGTAAGACATGTTTAATATAATTTAGTACTAGCACACGCCTTACTACTAATTTTCTTTGCACTTTTTTCGTTATTAGAATTTATAGAATATTTCAATACTGAAAAATAACAATTTATATAAGAAAAATATTTGGATAAGTACATGTCAAAAATAAAAAAGGAGTCGATTTTAGTAATAAATTTTTTTTACAAAACATATATAAAAACGAACAATTAATTTTAAAAGCATTAAACGCTTAGTAGTGAAAAGTTTATACTAAAATTTTAGTACTTTATTTTTCATAAATGCTTCCTTAAAACAAAAAACTTTCTAAAGCAATGGGGTTGAAGGGCAGATACATTCAAAAACAGCCCTAAAAATATGAAATTTAAGTGCTATTAATAAACAGTATCAGAACAAGTAATTAATAGATTCTAGCACTAACACACTTAGTACCAAATTTTTTGTGAAAACTTTACATTATTAGAATCTAAAGCGGATTTTAATAATGAGATTTTATATAAGAAAAATTTGTATATTTTACATTTAAGTATCTAGTCTAAAATTAAGTTGCTAACAGGGCTCTCACGTTTTAATCTTATAAAATTCGGAAATAATTTTTCTCGCTAATAAATCATAGTTTAGAAAACAACCTTAAAATCAAAAGAATATAATACAAGACCCTATAAATATAAGTGCAATATATGTAAGAACATAAATTTTTGTTTATGTATCTAAATACAGCAAAGCACCACTTTCCCCCAACCAGCATCAGATGAAAAAAAAACGTAAAAACAAAAACAAAGCAGCACAATAAAAGGAAAATCTCATAATTATCGAATATCGAATAAGACACACTTCAGCTAACCCCACGACCACCTTTGGTACTAACAACAATAACAACCATGCCAGAAAAACAAACACAAGAAAAAAAAGCAAAGCTACACACAAAACAGCTATCGACATCCCTAACATGTAATAAAAATCTTCAGAAGCAGCATCACAAAGTCACTGGCACGGTTTAAGTCAGGTTAAAACTAAAACAAGATGCGAAGAGAGGTGGTAAAGAAAGAAAAAGAATAATAATAACAAACAACAGCAGATAGGCAGCATTTAGGAAAATTCGTGAAATGGCGCGCGACTGTACCATTTTTCGTGAGCGATGATGCCAAGAATAGTTAACATACAAATTAATAGTAGTAGTTGTAGTGGTGGTAACTGTATGTGTGTAGTTGTATAATGGAGAATTGAAGAAGAAGGTGGCAGCTACAGGCACGGCGAACATCTCAGTAGGCAAACAAACAAACAGACAACGAGAAAACATAACAAAGAAAAACTACCGGCGAATGTGCGCTTGTGTGAAGAAGAAGAAGAAGAAGAAGAACAAGCACTTGAAAACTTACATTACAGCCATGGCCGGAGAAACTGGGAATCATAATGAGAATGGGAATGGCACTGGGAATGGAAATTTCAAAACTTACATGGGAACGTTTGCACAAGCGAACCAATGACGACATGAATAAGGCGGATGAGGAATAAAGATGTTGATAAGTAGATTGTAGAGTGGCTATTATATGCAGAGATTGTGACGGTATGAGGAGACGTTGTAGTATGTGTGTATGTAAAAGGTGAAACGAAAAGAAATTGAAGTACATATGTATAAGATATAGAGGCGACGAACAGCGAGTATTCGCATCTAATTAGAAAAAGTCAAATTAAATGGGATAAAAGCTGGGCGTATGCGATGGAAGCAAGATGGGAAATGGCAGAAAGGAGAGACAATGCTGAGAAAAGAGTAAACAGTGATCTTCAATATATATATATATACTGTTGATGATGTACGGTTGGATGTGGATAAGTATTTATACATGCATATGTTTGTATGTATAAATAACAGAGCAACGCTATACAAACAGTGGCTCTCGAATTGTTGCCCAGTGTTTTATGGCCTACAATCTGTGGTAACCTTCTATTAATGTGTGATAAAAATATTGGTAAAAATGCATCTTTATTGAATCTTAGGGGCCGATGCTTGTTAAATTTATAGAAAAAAAGTCGACAAATCAAATTTCTTACTAATGGAAATATGCTGGTAGCTTTTTTTGGATAATAATGTTAATGAATACATCGATATCGATAAATATAAATATCGATAATTGTAGCAAA